GTTCAATCTCTTCTTGGAAAATCGAGTACAACCTAACTATGGTACCAGTTGTTGGAAATGAGCAGCTGTCCCTATATTTTTATAGTTTATATTCTATTCGTTTTTGGTGACGGTTCCTTGTGGCTTTTGTGCAGATTTAGATTCATTGATTAAGTGCTGATGCTTTTTTTCTTTCTTTGAAGTGTAGTGCTGGCTCGCCAAAACACCGCTTGAGGTGATGTTTGAATGTGATGGGAAAATGAAGTCATTTTATTGGGTGGTGGGCGAGCTTGAGGCCGGTATTTTGCGACGCGGGCGGATTGCTGGGTGTGGGATTGGATTGTCCGACCTTCAGCGATGCTAAATTTATTTTTGTGGGAGGAAGGGCAAATAGTTATATGGGGTGTCACCCATCCTAGATTCGATATTTGTGTGTAGCTTTTTTATAGACATCCGCGGGGCTGGTATGGATTCGAAAGCGGTTTGACGGCTAACATAGGGTATATGGTCAAGGAGAGAGTATGCTGTCCATGCGTAGTATAGTGTCCTTTTTGGCCCAGTGAGTATGTATGCCATGAGTGTTTGTTTCTATTAGTTTTGGGAGGGTGTGGGGTTCCAGGTGCTGTGGTAGACAGATTAGAGTGTGTAGGTTGTAGGGTGTGGTTCGTGTCTCTAGCGGCGTGAGCTGCGGGCGGTATGCGTGCATCAGCTTTTGGGTGTTGTGTTATGTTTCAGCTGATGCGTCTTATGGGTGGTGTTTCGCGGTGGTTTTCGGAGGCGAAAAAAGCACGACAGCACCATCGCTTCCGTCTCCTCTGTTATACTGCTAGCTCCTTGGCCGTATATAAGGATAGGCCGAGTGAGTTTAGAGTTAGTCGTTAGGTTAGGCTATAAGTTGGGTTTTAGGGACTAGCTATGGACGCATGCAGCCGAGTGGCGACAGCCCGAAAGAAGATTCAATTCGGCCAGTCAGAAAATATAATAGAGTGCATTTTTTCGTCACTTTTTCTCTGGTTGTCCACCGACAATGTCTCAGACTGGTTAGGTGTCCGGCGCGTATAATTCTGGGTTGTCTTCGGACAAGCGGACAACGTTTTAGTTTTCGAGCACTGAAAATACATGGTGTATAAGTTGTGGAAAATGTTCAAAAAGATCCGTGAAGACGTCCATATAGATAAATAAGTGTTAAAACAGCCCGATCATTTTGGCGTTTTTGCGATCCATCTTTCGTGGTAACCAGGTTGGCAGTCTGCGAAATCCCTAACGCCGAACTATGTTCTATAGGCCCTGCGGGCAGTTAATGAAGCGGGCTATTAGTTACTAGAGCTAGTTTCGCGGCAAGGTACGCGGGGGACATAGACTCTCTCAGGCCACAGGAACCCTTGAATGCGTTTTCAATAAAATAATGACATGCTAAATAATACAGAAATATCTATTAGCTTACAAATTCTTAATGTTTCTATACTGCTCTTTCACGCTAGTAGTTATTGCCGACAGTTTTCCTGTAGAATCCGTCCCCATCCTATGTACAACATACGCTGCCGGGCGGCCCATTTGCTCTCAGCGGGCCTGCACCTGTGCAGGCATGGGCTGTCACTTATATATATAGCAGGTAGGAAAGCGCGAAGAGTCCCTGAAATTGTGCTTGACGGTCCTCTTTGATTTCACACTCAAGCCACGAATACACATCGACAGCGGGGGATGCCAGCTTCATCTTGTTGCCCCATTTTCAAGAACCGCGGGTGTTCACCGTGTTATATAAACAGTACTGTGCTCTGTTCGTAACCTGAGCTGTGTCACCGCGAAATCACACCGGGGGCACAAAGACTGACGAAATTCTCAGCAATCGCGATGAACCTTGGCACCAGGCAAGAGAGAAGGAGAGTGGTGTCAGAGATAGAGAGAGAGCGCCCACGGGCGCTCTTCGTGCCTCATACCTTGCGCCGTCAACGCTGCAACCGCTTTTTGGGTCAAACACTGCCAATGGCGAGGCGTCGTACAGGAGTTGGAAAGGCAGTCGCGCCGCTAATCAGCCCATAGACTGGTAACTCGGCTCCCGACCTCCTGGGGGCTTTAGCTACCATTACGTCGATGGGTATCGATCGGTGGAGCGAGTACCAGTCTATGATAGCCTGTACGTGGCAGCCCATTCTACATTCTACTGCAACGTTAGCGGAACCGAAGCGAGAATTTCGTCAGTCTTTGTGTGATTTCGCGTGCCACAGCTCAGTTAGCGAACAGAGACAGGTATGTTTTAAACAAGTGAACATCGGTCTCTTGAAATGGAAACAAAGATGGAAGCTCTTGGATTGTATTCGTCGCTGTGAAGGTGTGAAATCAGCGACCGAGTCGAGCAATTTAGGGATCCGTCGCTCTTCTACTGCTATATTATACTATATATTATAAGTGTAAAGGTGTGCACAGGTGCAGCCCGCGAGAGCAATGGCGCGCCGCCAGTGTAATGTTGTACATAGGATTGTGACGGGAATTGAGAGGAAACTGTCGGCATCAATAGGTGAACAGAGAGTATAAGGAACATTCAGAATTTGGTAGGAAATAGATTTCGGTATTTATTAGCATTATAGTTTATCATTTATTGAAGACGCTTCAAGTGCCTGTGCTCTCAGTCTCAGCGCACTGATAGTGATAGTACATAGACGTGATACTGACTCTGATAGAAACCGAATATTTCTGTCCGCATATAACCTTTTTTTATAATTTTGGTGAGGGTTTTATTGGGCACGAACGGGGTTGCATTAAAATTTCGTAAGATTCGCATGGCAAAATGCATGCGCTTGGCGAATGGCCGGCCCGTACGCCGCTATGTGCGGTGAAAAAAACCCTACCGTTCCCTTCCATGGCCTTTTTTTTACCCCTTGCTATTGATATGTGTCATAGCATTCACTCAATCGTTATGTGTGCACTTCTTGAAAGATTTGTTTGTTCCGCAGAACGACCGCTCGTTCCACATTGTCTAGGAGAGGCATTGATGGTCGCGCGGAAGGGGGGAGCGGGGGGGCATTATTGCAAACATCAGACCAATCAGGAACGGAGGTTCCTATCAGATAGCCATCTCGGCTTGTATCTGTGCGAACGGGTGCAGGGAGGGGTCCCTGAGACTGGCTGCTGAGATTTAGGCTCTTGATGGTTTGTAAAAGTGGGAAATGATTTTAGGAAGCTCTGGAAGGAGAGTCTCTGATAACACTGATGCTTATTAAGAAGTTGAATAACGAGGAGAGAGTGCGGCAATGTAAATACACATGTATGGCAGTAGTCAAGGGTAAAGGCTGCCAGTGCGCGCTGAGCGAGGGTCCTAATGTCTCCCCGCGGGGTACTGCCGGCGCGTGCCATGGTACGGCGTCCCCCGGTAACCCGGCGGAACACGTACCCTGGTACTATACGGATATTATAATGCCAGGACCGTACCGATCGGCCTACTAACTAACGGAGTCTAGGGAGTTGCCGTACGCCTATCTCCCCAACCCGACCCTAACCCTAAACCCTAATGCTCAACCCTGAACCTAAAATCCTAACCGCTATGCAGTGATCAAAGTAGGTGAACCAGGGTAACGGTTTCACGGTATACCGGGACCAGTACGCCAGGGTACGTGTCGGCCACGTACCGTGGGGACATAGACCCTATGAGCGCCCAGTGCAGCTGGCAGGCATGTAAAGGGAGGTAGGGTATTTTTCACGCAGGGAGCAGCCAATTTATCGGTTCGACGGGTAGTAGAGGCGGGCCGCATGGCTCGCAGGCGCATAGAAGCATTTTGCCTGCGATTCCGACATTTCAATGAGGCGGCGCCGTTCTGGATCTCCAGGGGGATTATAAGCTGACTCACGCCAAGGAAAGATAAAAAAAGGGGTGTAATGCAGTGGGAACGATGATTATTCGGTCTAGGGCCGTCAGCTGATAGCTCGCAGAAAACGCGTATTGCTGAGGAGTTAGAATACCGTTTCAGATCTCTGCCCACAATTCCTTGTAGTGTGCTCGGTATCCCAACTCATCGACACAGCCTAGCGTCACCCATGTAAATGCTCAAACGAGAATCTATAAACTCTTGGCTTGCACGCTCGTAACTGGGCGCTACTCGGCGTTACTTTTTATTGAGTTAACTGCCCGTTTTTCTGAGATGAATGCGATCAAAAACAACAGCAGACAGCCGCCAATGTCTGCCGATGTTCAGTGGGCAACTAAGAATCGACACATGACGGATCTGATTCTTCACATGCCAGGTGCGTTAGGCCAACTACAACGAAGTACATATCTTCGGCAAATGATAATGATTAGTGTTGTAGATTGACCGATTCCCTGTTTTTCAATGTTTTTAATATTTATATATATACGAGTATATGATGCTTCTTTATGCTCGCCGCCAACGCAAGTGCCAACGCGTATGCGTATGTCTATGTCGTTTCGGGTTTCCGCGTGCCGTTCGAGAAAGTCATGCGCATTTGCAAACTATGGGCGGTTCGGCCGCGTAGTTGAAAGTTTGGGTTTGGCTCTTCGACAATTTACACTGTGCACACGCAAACCTCGAAGGTATTACTATAGTTTTAATAACAAGCGGGCTGGAATACTATAAGGTGAAGGTTTATAGTTTGACGTACAAAAGCAGGCCGAAATGCGTAGATGATCATTATTATTTGAGATCTACGTAATTGTTCGGCCTAGTTTTTGTACAGCTACAAGATCTTTCAAATGGATGGCTGTCGAGGCGGTGTAATTGACTTAGTCCACACAGCCGTGTCGGCCGTTACCGTCACTGACTGAGTGAGTGAGTCGCACTGAAATTCAAGTGCCTGTGAGTGTGGCTGTGGTTTCAAGTGCCTGTGAGTGAGTGCATGACATTGTGCCGCGGCTGTGTCGTGGATGGGCTTTCCGACAACACGAAGTTGTTTCTATGTACTGGAGTTTCTTGGTGATCTATCTACATGTCATCTTTACATCACAAAGGTTCTGCAGTAATGAACGTTCTACAGAGATTACAAAATTTATATTTTAAACTTATAATATTTACCTGAGCCGACGCCATTATTCATCCGGGTATACTGTTCCGCTGGTAGCCTCTTGTTTCTAGCAATGGCAGCAACCGGGAGGTTATTTGGCAAGCAAGTTTGCTGTAAGTTCGGTTTCCATTCGATTGTACAAGTTGTATGATAATTCTACGTGTATCTAGTATAACCAATTGAATATATTATGTGTAGTTAAACGTATAGTAGTTTCGTTTTGCGTAATCATTGTGCAGTCATTTATGAAGAAAGGTTTAAAATTGACAAATTTTTACGCCAACCTACTTTTTGACAAATTATACAGCTCTTAACCTCATAAATATTATTAGTCTTCAAAGTCCAAGAGACTGTATCGAAAACGGAAGAAGACAAAGTTGGTAAAACATACAGATCAACACTGCGGATCGCACTACTGCACTTGTTACAATACTAGACTAAATGAGGCAACGTATTGAATGTATTCAGTGACAGTACAGAAAGAAAGTTCAAAGTTCAATACCTTGAATTAGTTATGCCCCAATTAGTTATAGCCCCATTAGTTATGCCCCAATTAGTTATTAGTTGAATTAGTTATACCCCAAGTATTAGTTATGCTAAACACATCAGATCAAAGTGCACTAGAATGTCAATAAATATTATTCGAATGGGAATTACAAGCAAAAACACAGTCAGACCTGGTTTTAAAAGTTTTGGTTTCTAATAAAATTAAAAGTATTAATATAGGCAATAGTAAAATCTATTAAAATTAGACATTCCTGCTCAAAGGTACCAGGTCAGGACTGGTGTGGGTCGATCATCTTTTCCAGCACTGTAAAACAGTACATACATGAAAAATGAGTTCTTTTAATGAACATAAAAAGGTCATTTTTGGATTGAGTTTAATGTCTGTTACAGCATTGGGTCTGCAATATATCAAGATTAGGACTCTACATTTTGCCTCTTGATCAGCACCATATTACATTATCACCTTGGCAGCGAATACAAACAGATTATTATTATGTGACACATGCTATGTGCAGCAACAGACTAAATAATGGGTTTCTGTTCTGTATGTGTGTGTGTAGGGATAACCAGCATATACCACTAAAAGTGTAACATGAAAAACAATCTTATGCAGTTGTGCCTTACATGATTAGCAAATGATGTGACCTCACCGATGTTTCCCCAGCTATCTAGCCAGCAACCTAGTTAGCTCTACCAGTGTACGGAGGAGACACTGTAGCGGGAGCGAAGGAGCTATACTGGTAGAGCTACCCAGCAACCTAGATTGTACCGCTAATGTCACGTCCAACACATTAAAACAGTAGTAATAGCTATGCTTCCTCTGTCTGTGAGTCTGTCTGGCTAGCTATCTACTTGACATTACAGGAGCTGTGGTTAGTGCATGCACGTATTCTCTCATACACGTGCAGGACAATAACTTGTTTATTATAATAATGTTGTGTCATACATACATGTGTGAAAACATTCAGAAGGTAGCACCCCATCGCATAACAATTACATAGTTTTATTTTCTGATATGTGATTTATATTACCTAACAAGCAATGTACATTTGCATCTGTGAATCAAGACACACGGTTTGGCTGCTCGAACATTTCATTGCAAATGAAACAGAAATATCTCCAATAAAGAAAATATGAAAGTAGATGATGATGTCATGAAACGCCAAGACGAATGCAGAGGAATATCTGTGGGCAGAAATAGTCTGTCAATATTTAACCACAGCGGCGTAAAAAGATCAACATTGTGGATTGCGATGGCATTTCTACTGCACACTTGTCCTACTCGAGTTATTCACATACATGTATCGTGTGCGTGTGCTTGGAAGTTATTATAGAAGCTGGGTATCCTGTGAAGTGACTGCTATCTGTGTGTGTACGTTTCAGCTCGCCTGTCTGCTGTGAGGCGATGCAGCTACGATTCAACATGGAAGAATTTAATTATAAATAGTGAGACAAGAGTAATCTGCCAAGGCTTCACAGGCAAGCAGGTAGGAAGATGTTGCTATGCTACATGGCTCATGCTAGTAGTAGAAGTGATGTGATTGGTGGAGGCTATGCTACATTGCTCATGCTAGTAGTAGAAGTGATGCGATTGGTGGAGGCTTAGGAGCTAATGATAGAGCAGCAGTAGCTCTATTGCCTGATTGTACTGTAGGCCATGGTGTAGAATAGGTCTGGGTAACGCACATGTTGCTTTATTACTCTTAGCATTTTATAACATGAATACAACAGTGTGTTTAATGAGAACCTGAGACTTATTTTAGGTTGATGGATGAGTTTGGTTGGAGGCAAGCTATTACTGGCAGCAGGTTACTGACCATCTGGCATGTGGTTTGCAGTACTATAGTGGGTAGAGCTGTAACTTCATCCTATGCCACTATTTTTAGCTCATCTGACATAGTCAGATGCAGCTTGTAGAATCGCATGATCGTCTGTCCGTCCGTGAGAGCTTTCGTCCGTCCGTGCGTCCGTCAACAGTTGGGCACAAATCTAAACGGCTTGACGTACGGTCACGATATTCGGGACGTGGGGGGGTAATCCGAAAACGAGTTGGGATGTCGAAGCTGGGGGTCAAAGGTCAAGAGGTGTAAAAGAAGGGGGAACATTCCCTCCTTAACTTTTAAGGTATAGGGAGGAAATATAATAAATAATAATAAATAGTATTTATATTAATAACATCGATGAATAAGAGCCGATGCAACGTATAGTAAGTTTGGTAGTCCACTTTGGACTGCGGTGCAGGCAGTTTCAGGTACGGATGTACTCAGCTACATAGTACTCATCTACGGACGGGTGCGGCATAGCAGGTGGGTGAATCTAAGCGGCGCATGTCACGTTGGCTCGCGTCGACTCGAGCCGACATACACTGAGAATTCGAAGCTCGCAGCATCGGAAGCCCAATACTTTCCTCTCAGCCCTAGCGCGGGGCTTAACGGGAGGGGAGGGGGAAGAAGGAAAGAGAGCCTCGCCTATCCTCGTCATACTGCTACAAAGCAACTGTCGTGCTGTTCAGTTATGTCAGCTAAAACTTGTCACAATAGCACCGACTGCCGTACGTGCAACCATGTCCGGGTAAGGCAGGCAGTAAGGTGCAAGACGGTAGCGAGCGAGCGAGAGCAGCACGCAAGCGTACCATCAATGATACACCCAGACGATGGGACCAGCCTTCAGGGTCAGGTAGACATACTGTATATCTGTTGTCTTTCATGCAGAATGGTGGCAGTATCATAGAAACTATCTATTATTGTCAAAATTATAAGAAAAAGGCAGATCTTGTATATTGGCCCTTAACGCCCCTTTAACAGCATAAACGCCTAAAATCATTGCTCCATCGTATATTTGAAACAAAAAACATTGATATAAACCATCAGCTTCAAACACTGCGCGGGCTGATTTATAAAAATAGCAAGTAAACTGAAAAAGTAGTTTTTAAGGTCTGTCGCGAAGAAAGGGTTAATTACCCATGTGCTACCCGTATGAGTCAATGCTGAAACTAATTTTTTATTATAGCACATGCTAGGCCCATGAATACAGTCATGAGATATACAGCAGTGAAACATCTAGGGGAATAGTGGCAAAAAAATAGACATTATTATTGGTCAAAATGCAGTTACGTGAAAATAATGTGAAATAGGGGGCTCTCGAGAACGGAATCGCTGAGAAGTGGGGTTGCTCACGAACGGAAAATATTGAATAAGGGGTCCCGAACGAAAATTGAGTGAAAAGAAGGTCTCTCCCGTGACACATACCTACCATACATATTATATAGGAAGTGCCGCCGGGGGGTTTTCGGTGGATCAACAGAAAAAAAGTTGTGATTCGGATACCAAAATCACATGCATCACACGATCGTGTGATTTTATTCTTTCTTTCTTAATAAATATTCTACCCGTTATGTAAATTACAATTGCAATATAGGAGTTGAAGTATATAATAGTACTATATATATATATATATATACAATTATACATCCTCCTTGCCACATAGTGCCAATTGTCAATTAAGTGAATTGAAAAAAATCACCGCATTTTTTTCTAAATGGATGATGATTATCCAATCAAGTGAATGCCAAATATAGCGTATCAAAGCATCTGAAATAATTTTAAAGATTTCATCTACCACTTTATAATTGGGTTCACTAAACTTTCATAAAGTCGGACAAAATACTTCACGAGAAACGCCTTGCAACGACAATTAATTTATCAATTATGTGCGTACACTGATGATCCAATTATAAACATGAAATAACGGCTTTTGAACGTTTCGATGGCGTCAACGTCTTTTATTAGTTCCGCGTGTCCTTCTGTCCGTGACCCCCAAAAAAACAACTGTAATGTTCGTAAATCTATATGTGAGCACCGCGAAGAGCGCGACACTTGCCGACGAAGTGCGAAAGTCTAGCCCATTGCGATTGTCACCGACGATGGCCCAGAAAAAACACGGCGACTAATAAACCCGAAGCGCGCGTCGTGTCACCGTGCTACGACGATTGCGTGGACGCGAACTGCGGCATATATAAACAGCCATGTGATCAAGAAGGCATGTGTAAGCGAGAAAAGTCAGCGCGCCTAATCAGAGAGAAGACACGACGCAATGAGGAAGTGTGGACCGATATGTAAGTGAACGATAAGCTCTGTAAGCAACATAACCCATGCTGTGTGTAGAAACCACAGTTATTTACGCTACGTGTGTGTGTGTGTGTGTGTGTGTGTGTGTGTGTGTGTGTGTGTGTGTGTTGTGGTTGACAATATATCTTAGCGTAGTTTTGTAGACTTAACGTCCGATTGCTTTCCCCATCACATGCGTATAGAAAATTAGATTTATGAAGCGAAGTTTCTACTCTGTATGTGTGTAATAGCGATATGTTAGCCTTCTATACGCGATGTGTGTTGCTCGCACTCAAACTCAATTAACACCTTTACATGTTTCTTCATCTCGGTTATTTCGTACGCACCCTGTTTTGTATGTATTTGTTTGTTGATTAACATATTGTTTCATTAAATATGCATACGCGTTTGCATTCTTGCAGACGTGCTCTTGCTAGCTCTGGTCATCTGTGCTGCAGAAAACGATGATGTAAGTAATTGCGAAGCTTTCGCTTTTTATAACATCTCAGTAGTAGACATAATTATTCACCCACGAACATTGAATTAAGGCTCTTAGCAGCTCGAACGACGTCGTGACTGGTTAAACACCGGGTTACATATGCGTTATTGTGGGACAGTTAATCGTAAAGTTACAGGTTGTACAGACGGACACATAACGTAGGGGAAAAGGGATCGGATAACAGGTTTCAGTACATCTTTTGGGGGATTAGGATTTTTAATCCTTTCGCCTTTTCTGGCTTATCTATATTACGTTGTAATTCATAAAATCCTTTATTTCAACAACACGAGAACTCTAGCAAAGATTTCGCTTTGCCACGCACACGCACACGCACACGCACACGCACGACCGCACACGCCACACGCGACACGCACACGCACACGCCACCACAATCTGCACACGCAACACCCACACACACACGTCATTCACGCACAGCGCAACAGTCCACGGACGCCATGGCAGCACACACACGCAACACACACAGGTTCACACACCCCACACACACACACCACCACACACACTTACACACGCGCGCGCACACACGTAGCACGGCATGCACGGCAGCCTCTACTTCCGAGCCTCACTCTGACAACACACACACACACACACACACAACACACACACACACTCACACACACACTACACACACACACAACACACACACACAACAGCACACACACACACATGCACACACGTAGTCGTTAGTTCTTTCTTATCCGTTCGTGCACGTCCTCGGCGTTTCGTCATCGCTTCGCGCTACGATTAGTATACGAGTGAGAGTGTCAGGCAGACATAGGTTAGTCTAGGACGGCGTAGTTACTTACCGCGCAGATTCACAGCGTGATCGCAAGAGATGACAGGCGCTAATGCGTCGTTGAACCATTAAGATACGATGAGTGGACATTTTCTTTAACGAGCGTGTTTAAGGCACGCTCGCACAGAACAACGTTATACCTCCGCGCAAACGAGTCATCAATCGCTCGCAGCGCGCGCGGCGCGCGCCCGCGCGCGGGTTGGTGTGGTGTTGGTGGTGGTGTGGTTGTGTGTGTGTGTGTTGTGTGTGTGGTGTGTGGTGTCAGTGTATTGGGGTGGTGTGGCCACCCGGCGAATCGTAGCGGCGTCGATCAGCGAGCGGCGGCGCGATCGATAGGCGCGTCGAGTCAGCGAGTGCGAGTCACAGCAGGCCAGCCAGTGAGCGGAGGCAAGCACAGGCGGTGAGTCAGCAGCCACCAAACCAGCGAGTCACATACATTTACATGCTCGCGAGGTATGCACTCCTCCGTGAGTGCCCCTCGTCTAGATTCGTATGAATTCGTCTACTTAATTATCACGCTATGAGTCAGAAACCGTTTCCCGCGTCAAGTTACGCATTTTGGTTCCGTCGGTTAATCCGTCTGCGGCGGGCGGCGTACCGGTTCGCTCCTCGCCTGTCGGGTGTCATGGGGGGGGTCTGACCCGGAGCCAGAAACGTCTAAAGTGCGATCGCATTACACGCAGAATATTCATTGTAGCGGCTCATTCTGGCAGCGCCAGAGTACATTGCGATAAACTAAACTCTATCTTGAAACAATAACGTGAAACCTGCAGTTACGGCACGCGGGAGATGATTGCATAAACACCGCATGGATTAAGATAATTTTCTTAGCGTCAATTCAAAGCAGTGCACTGTAGACGTACGCAAACGCTAGCTTGCGAAAAAGAGGTAGGAGGCAAAACAAGAATGATCCACATAACACACATCAAACGCACGCACGCACAGGCACCACACACACACACACACACATCACACACAACACACACACACTGACACCCTCGGCAACGCGCACACCACACACGACACGCACGCACAATGCGGCTGTCACAAGCACACACACATACACACCACACACACACACGACACATCACACACATGTAGTAGTCTACATACACACATCACACCACTCACACGCATTCGCACGGCACGCATCCACCACACATACACACACACACCACGCATCACGCACAAACACTCACACACACACACATCACACACCACACACAACACACACACACGCACGCGAACGAGCGCACGCGCACGCGCGATCGCCACCGACGCACACGCACTCGACGCACAGCACGCGCGAGCACGACACTACCCTCCAACACCCAGCACACAACACACACACACGACACACACACACACACACACACACACACCGCGCGCCGCGCGCGCGCCTGCGGCGCCGGGCGCGCACAGTCACGCACGCACACACACTCAACGACGCCGCACAAGCACATAAACTCTCGAACGGCACCGTTTACATACGGTTCGCTACAGACGTACTCGCGGCTTGTCCGATGAGAACTAGCCAGACGAAGAATCATAAGGTCATACGGAAACAAGACAGTGACGAACGCAACCTGACAACGCTCACGACCGCAGAGAACTCGCCGACTACGCCGACGACCGAGCGCAACGTGCGACACAATAAGTCCAGAACTATAGCGCGGTCCAGTGGCGGTGGGGCCATCCCTGTTAAACGCGCCGTTCAGCAGAGTGTGGCACAACAAACAACAACAACCGCAGAACAAGCAGCGACCGTCCATAAAGTAACCGCGTTCCTCTACTTCGCCGCACGCAATTTCAACGATTCGCAAACAACAACAACACAAAAACAAAACGAAGACGACTACTACGACTAGATGTAGGAAGCCCGACGTCATTGCAGCAGCGATCCGCTCGTTGAATCCTTCCGATCTGTTCGCCCAACGGCATGCGACGTCGGCTCGCCACGTGCGAGGCGACGGCACCAGTCGAGCGCGCGCGCATGATCGGGCGTAGGCGACGGCGTGCTCGGCAGCGTCCGTCGCGCATGCGACGAGTAGACCCGAACGGGTGCGCCAGCGCGCGCCGAGCCGAGTCCGTCGGGCCACAGCCTTGTCGCATCGCAATGCGTATGATCCGCATGGCGGGATGAGGAGAAAATGGTAACGCGCAAGCAGCACGCGCTGGTAAAGAACGTCGCGCGCCGCACGGCCTTTCTCAATGCATGCCCCCCACTTTGGCTATGGAGTACGATGTCGCTCGTCGGCGAACATCTTGCGACGACGGACGGACGTCGGCCGTGTCGCATCGCGTCGCAGAAACGCCCTCGCGGCATACGACATATCCGCCGAATGCATCGAAGGTCCTGTCGTCGCCGAGCCGACCTGCAGCTGCAGATCAGGCTGCCGGATACAGGCGGCAGTCTGACCGCGGCGAGCGCCGGCCGACGAACGGCTCCAAGCGGCCGATGCCCAACAGCGCTAACCGGAAGGTACGCGTCCGATTTATAAGGCGAGGCGTAACCCCCGCGAGAAGGCCCACGTATGAGCGGTCAGCGAAGAGAACGTCGTCGCGAGACGCGCGCGCTGAGTGACTCAGGCTCTACCTATCCTCAGACGCGCCTTTCTCCGCCTCTTCTCCCCCCCACTCCTCCGTTACCCAGGCGAACGAGAGAGTTTGCGTCTGCCTCGGTGCCAATCGAGGTTCCTCCGCAAGCGCGTCGCTCGACGGCCGGAATACTACTACCGCTCCGACAACGTGTACGTTACGCGGTGTCGTCCTATCGACGGTTACGTGTGTTCGTCGCGACGGTAGGTGTCGCGACCGACGCCTGATAAATGCGCAGCTGACGTGACGACCCCGCGCATCGGGCCGATGCCAACACCTCATCGCACACGTTTGATGCTGGGATGTGTCGCTATGTAGTGGGGTGATGTAGTTGTTTCGAGTGGCCATCGCATCTCGCGTTCCATGATGGTGTATTCTCATTGATGGAGGATCGCGAGATTATAAATCATTCTTATACGCATATTAAGCGTAGTCATTAGGGGAAACGTGGTGAATAAAACATTCAACACATTAGGGATACTTCATATGCGACATCTGTTATATGTTAAATTCATCTATACATATGATACTAAGTCATAATGGCAACTCTTGATTATAAATCATTCTATACATTAGATACGATGATAAATGGTAGCACGTTAAAACGTTCTTCTGATGTATAGTCCGCCACCTTTCACGTTTAACAGATTGTTTTCTTTTTTGTTTTTTTTTCTTCGTGTTACTTTTTTACAATTAACTGGAGAAACTGGAGCGCTTAATAGGTCATACCTTTGCGCGCGCTTTAAGCGAATGAGTGTTCCTATAAATAATATATGCGGAGATATGTGAAAGCTTGAGTTGATGAAATACGATATCGCACGATTTGTTACCGTCACATTATTGATGTAATCATCTAATATGTTTTTAGTGACTCGCGAATTCATGTATCTATATGAATACGAAAAATGCCTTTGAATAGCAATACACAAATCGGTTGAGCCAAAATCAACTCGTAACGTATACGACTAATTTAAATGTCATACAAGCAACTGAAGATGGCGCGACACGAAACGATACGCGTAAAAAAATAATCTTTTGGCTGTTGGTATGTGGTTTTGACAGTCCCATAAAACGTCGCTTTCTCTGTGCGCGAAAATATGTGACCGAAAACTAGCAAACAATTGAAACGACCTTGAAATGACCGAAACGCTCAATGACCTTGAAACGATGCCGTTACCCGGAAAACTGACCTACGTGGTGAATTGCTGAACTGCGTGAATTGCGTGAACTGCGTGACTCGACTCTAGAAAAAAAAATTTAGCGTGACAAAAAGTTAACAACACCACACACCAACCGTTTGTCAGTAGTCCGCGATTCTTGATTAATCATCAATCCACGAACGTTACAAAGGATTTCCCTCTATATAGCTAACTTATCAATATCGATAGACATCAAGAGCTCATAATAGAGACTAACAGACATACCTACTACAACATAAGATGCATACAGCAGTGCGTTAGAATACCCGGAAAGATCCCAGCACCTTCTTGCCAATCAATCGTCGTTGATTTTGCGCACGTAAAGACTTCTAATACGTGCCTATAGCTACAGTGAGGCAAGAATATACCACGTATGTCGTGTAAAAATTAAGAAGAAAAATAGTCGAATAATAGATAAATAATATAAGATAAATAATACAGAACTAATGACATTAATATTATAATAACAAGATAGTTATATTCGACAAGCAAAGAAGCACGCATATGCCGACTAAGTTAAACAAACTCACGTAAGGGGCCCAATGCAACGATAAACAGCATATATAACGCAAGCGGAAGTCAATCGTTTAACGTGATAACCATGATATATGAAAAGTCGCAGAACAAGCAAGCGCCTCTACATAACGCACGCAGGAAGTTCAGGCAATGTGTGTCCTGAAATGAGACGTGAAGTTGACGTTTTGTTAGCATAGATCCTGGCACATAGTGGCCTCGAATACTGTGCGGGGCGCGGTGTGTGTGCGTGTGTGGCGCGCGGCCCGCGTGGGGTGGGTTGTGATGTGTGTGCGTGTGTAGGGGGACTGCGTGCGGTGTGTGCGTGCTTGCGCGGTTGTACATGAGTCTGGCAACGACATCGCAAAGCAAACGACAATCACCAAATACATCATAGCGCATTATAAAAACAGTCATGGAACTTCACCTCATAGCTAGAGCATGACCTCCAGAAGTAAGATCCAGCTAAACACAGTAGCTAAGACGAGCGGAGTAAAGGCACCAACGCGACTGGGGACAGACAACGACGAAAAACCTAAAACAGTACGAGAAGACCAGATCAAGGAGTCGCCTAACAGTTAGCACGACAAGAAATGTCAGAACCATCGAAAACAATCACCCCTAGAGCAAGCATGTGTACACACGGCCAACAACCATTAGCATATCTCATATCCTACACCATTAACCATACCATCGCCAGTTTTAAATGGCTGTAAGCAGACGCCAGTGATTAGGCAAGTGAAAAACGCATACCCAAGGCCGATAAGTGAGGAATACCAGCGAGGGTCAGCGGAGGCAATCTCAGGACCTACTCTCATCACAAGAAAAAAAAACAACGAATTGGGACGAGAACAGTCAGATCGCGGTCCCCGCCGACCAGGTTTGAAAAAATTTATGCTTGCGCAAGCACAGACCGCTGCGCACACACATACACACACATCACACGAACTCGCGGCCGCAACACACACATAACACACACACACATCACACACACACACACAAACACAGCCACACACGCCGCGCGCGCCCACACACAAACGCAGGGCACCGCACGCCACAACGCGGCGCAGCCAAAAAACACGCACAACACAGGCAGCACGCACGCATGCATCAGCCCGCGCCCGTGCACTTCGGCACACACAAGCACATATACACACCACTCGGCGGCACATATCACGCACGCACATACACACATACGACGCCACACACGCACACCACATGCACCTACGCTCAACGACAACACACCCACGCACACCACATGCACCCACGCACACACACACACCAGCAAGCGCATCACACAGACAACACCGCGCAGCGACGCACACACATGCCACACACGCAAGCACACACACACACACACACACACACACACACACAGCCACACGACAACTCCACACATCAAATACGCTGGATAAAATATGAAGATTACACGGAAGCCCCCTAGAAGTGCAATTGAAGAGACGACCGAAGCCAAAAGAATGAGTCCTAACAAAGCCATAAGCCTACAAGCCAAAAGCATACAAGCCCTTTCGACGCTGCAGCTCGAGGAAACCGTACAGAGCAAACCGATCTCCGAAAGTGCTTTCGGGAGCATGACAAAAAAGCGAGGCCGAGCAGAGTCACCTCAGGCCCAGCCCTCCTCGAGCCCGTAGCGAGAATTTCTGGCTAGCGAAACCACGATGCATCTAATATATTACTCCTGCTCTGGAGGGTGTTCGTGACGGACACTTAGAGCAAAACCTGATATTCGCATTCTATAGGATCGGAGGAGGTCGGAATCATCTCAAAAAAATTTGTGTAACACGTCAGTCATATGTACGTTTTTTCGTACATCGATTATGATATCGTAGCGCCAGATGAAAATAAATCATGAAGTTTAAGCATTACTATTAGGCAAACAATAAACTTTAAATGCACTCATTACAATTGAATAAGGTATTACAACAACGTCTACAGATTGTGCCATAAACTTGTTTCAATTACTAAACTACTAACATTTGCTGACATTTTAGTCAAAAAAAGCCAAAATCGCGTCCCCCCCCCACTTGAAAAGTAGTTCTAATATGATGGCTTCACTTGGCGCCCAATAAGAGCTAGAGCTACCAAAGCGCAAAGTTCATGTGCCTAAACTCTCTAAGTCCCCAAGCTACATAAAGAGCCCCGGCAATGACCATAGGGGGTCCTGTGTAATGCAGGGGTCATACCCATACCCCCAAATACAGCCTTTGAATTCGCAAAGATGAGAACCTAAGATAAGACATTGGAATTGATTTATGGCTCGACCTCAAGGTTGACACCGAAGAATGATGACACCATATTCACTATTTTGAAGTTCAGCATAATTAGAGAAAGTACAGATATATGTCGCAACTGGTTCACAACAGAAATACAACTGTATGGACAAAGGTTACTGACAAAAGGAAATTCAATTTGATAAGCACGGCAGATCCAGCCACTCTGGTCCCATGCTTGGGAACCATTGAACGTATAAAAAACTGTTTTGACGCATGAACAAGCCGCAAGTGAGCCGACATTACCTGGCACAGCCGGGTCTTGTCAGACCATTATTCAGAACTCAAGCTCAATGAAGAACACTCAGCACTGCTGAAGAGCATGCAACTACCTTCTGAAACGAAGTCCAAGACCCATCTAGGCCTGACATCTCAACATTAGATGCCACACGACAGCGCGGAGACCTTCTCGTTACTCATCTTCCCGCTACTCAACTTCTCTCATCTGTTGTACTAAGTGGAATGCGTGCACTGTATGCGAAAGCCTGCGTGTCTATCCGTTGCTCCCCCACCATGGACATTGCTGCGCGTTTCATTTGGGGCATCGTCATCGAATAATTGTCACCCGTAATTTCGGTCATAGCAAAAGCCAAAAATGGTCACAAAAGTACACCTTGATGCTACTGCTCCTCCTCAATGCCACTCTTTTCCCTCTGCTTACATATTAACTTCTCTTCGTCCTTCCTTCTCTCCAGCCATACCTCTCCTTCTTCCCTTCTCCCTCCTGCCCCGTCCTCACTCACCCCATCACATCCGCACCATATACTTCGCCTCCTAACCCATCTCTCGCCGCGCACTATCACCCCCATGGCCCACACACACACAGCCGCACACAACACGCACGACACACACACACACACTACAAGCTGGTATTGGGTGTCGCGCGCGAAGCAATCACAAACAAACAAACCCCGCAAGCACGCACGCACCACCGCCCACATACCTACACATATATCCGGCACGCGCGCGTGGAAATCTAAAAACAAAACACAAAAACAAAATTTAAGCACTTAGCTCTATCTGGACGAAGTCAGTAATGCAGCCGTAACGAATCGCACGATCGTCCGTCCTCCGTCCGCCGTCGTCTGAGTGCGTCGCGCCGTTCCGTACGAATACGAAATCTATTTACTACCAAATTCTTAATGTTTATATACTCTCTTTGACCTATTATTGCTATCATACGCCATGCTGGACATGCATTTCCAAATTGTGGCTTAATTGTCTGTGAGTTTTAGGTGTGTGTCATTCCGTTGAAGTTTTAATTTCCATAAATGGTCCATGTTAAAATTGCATTGACTCCCGAAATATTTCGCGAAGGAATCATCCAAGCAGGATAAATATTTTTAAATAATTTTTAATATCATTGTTGCATCAGACCGGTCGTCAAGGGTCGCACGGCCGTTGCTAGGGCAAAATTTCCCAAGATGTCGTTGAAATGTTGCTTTAGTAACGTTTTTATGCAAAATAAAGCTTAGTGACATAGCTTAGTGTCTTCGCCACGTTGGAAACCCCCCGGTAAGAGTTAAATGGGCACATTCCTTACGGCGGTTTCGGAGGAGATACGTGAAATTACACGCGGCCTTTACAGCATTACTATATAGATATACAATTTCCATGTGCCATTATCCATTGTGCATTTACATAATCATTGATGGCAATAGTTTTGGTTCAACTTTGACATAATATACAGTAAGATTTTTCTTCTTTTTTAGGCAAAAGAGCAAACTGGTGCAACTGCTTCGGTTATCTATGTGCCTCCCCCTGGTGCAGCTGCAGCCATCTTGGAAGCAATTGATGCCGAGATTTCACTGGTAATAAGAAAAACAAACTTTTTATGAACCTTGCAAATGAAGCGTAAGAAACTCATGCTGTCTCTTAGTCCGGATAACCTTCAGTTGCTTGTGCAAATAGTGATATATTATTAATGCGCGCACAGACACACATGCACATGGTGTGCTAGACAAGCCATTTCTGTAATGCTGGTGTTGCCAACATAATTTCATGGTGAGTGGGAAAATAAAAACATTTTGCCCTCGCACAATAGCATAAGCCACAGATGTTTTTTGTGCATGTGTTATTAAATTCCAAAAAATACCAATATCGCTTGCAAATTTGAAGTATTTCACCAGTATATTATTTAATAGCATTTGGAACATTTTGAGCAGTCATGGTTATAATACATATAATAATTCCTTTTCTAATGCAATATAACTTAATATGAAAAATTTTAAATTACTCATAGCTGATCGGATAGTCTCTTGTTGTTTTGCAAACAGTTGAGACTGATGGAGACACTGATGTTTGTGTACAGCATGGTTAAAGGTGTAATGATACATAGACTTACTACGTGTCATGTAACAACATTATCCACTGTAGTGATGCACTACATTGTTTCTATTTTGCTTGCAGGTTGTCTGTATAACTGAGGGAATACCACAACATGACATGGTTCGTGTGAAACACAAACTTCTTCGCCAGTCAAAGACGAGGCTTATTGGTCCCAACTGTCCAGGAATTATTAGGGTATTTCTTGTCGTTATGCTCCATATAATTTTAGGCACCAACTAAGATCTCCAATCTTATATTAGAGGCTTTGTTTAGAGACAGTGCATCTTCGTATACAGTTTCCTTCTACAGTCCAGGAGGTTGTAGAAAATAGTAACCGTGATTTCAGTTACAGTAAATTGTTACTGGTAACAGTGTACAGT